CCCCCCCCCCCCCCCCCCCCCCCCCCCCCCCCCCCCCCCCCCCCCCCCCCCCCCCCCCCCCCCCCCCCCCCCCCCCCCCCCCCCCCCCCCCCCCCCCCCCCCCTAGAGAAAAGTATCGTTCAAATTAGGTTCCATTTCAATTTTTGTATTAATCATATTGATTATTTCATTACAATTATTATTTACAAGGTTTGTATTTCTGTATATTCGATTTGCACTATTTCTGATATGATTATTCATTTTAAGAAGATCCGGTATATCTATCAAAATACGCTGTATACAACTCTTGATTTTTCATGAATATTCAGACGTTTTTCTAAAGTTTGCTTCGTTTCAACATTTGTCAATATGAATTTTTTTCTTTCTATGATTTTTGATATATCAGCTAAAATAATATCTTTTGAATTTATATGTATTTCCAATAATGATGTATAATGCCTTGATTTTTTATTATTAAATTCAAGTTTATTATGCATTTGATTTTTTGTGATTTAATACCAAAACGAAGAAATTCTTTTATTGTTAATTGCCAATGATCTGAAAGATTTTCACAATATTGTTTTAATCTTGGGCGATGTCCCGGTAGTTTCTCTATAAGTTCTGATATATCTTTTAAAATACTTGATTTCATACACATATCCAAAAATTTTATTTCATCAATGATTTCTAGTTGCACAATTTTTTGAAAATTTTTAAATAATTCACTTAATATATGATATTCATCGGAACAAATATTTCTGGATAAACTGAGAATCAATGTATCAATTGTATGCCACACTGTATGCTAATATGTGATATAATCGTGCTATCACTGCAGAAATTCTCGAAAATAAAGTCAAAAATAATAACAAATGAATAACTCACTTTGTGTCATCATATGAGCGGTGATAAAACCAATTGCTTCAGTATTGTGATTGACTGACTGACATTATTGACAATACCGAATGGATTTGTACTGTAAGAAAATACCATATGAGTTGTTTGTAATAATAAACATTTTGTATTTGTTTGTAATTGTAATTCAAACGATCTCATTAATTTTAGTAATTCTAATTACGTTGTTGGTAAACGATAGTCTATTTTGTCACTTTCATCATTTTTAATAATTTTAAATAAATTCATTCATTGGTTCTGCTGTACCTCGTTGTATTTGCATATAACGACAACCAATCATAAGCAGAGTAAATAAAACGTTTAAACTCATATAATGATCGTCACATATGTAATGTTCTCTGTTTTTCAGTTAAAAATATTTCAATAGTTGATGCGTCTTTTTTAATACGATCACGTATATTTTTTCCATTCTCTGTAATATCATTACTACCATGGTTTGATTGTATTGATGTGATGAACAAATGACATTTTTCAAATGTCCAACGATCTAAATTACAAAATACTTGATTTTTCTTTTCTTCTGCATAAAGTTTCATTTGGTGGGTTATTAGTATTTCTGAACAAGCTTGCCAACTTTGAATCGAATTCTCTAATGAACCAGAGACTGGATAAGTACAAGTGAAAATACTTGTCACGTAAAAATTGTACTTTGGACTTTTACTCAAGTACAATTACGTAAGTATATTTGTACTAAGTGCTGGTACTTCAGCGCATTAGTACTAAGTACCGATACTTCAGTACATTTGTAAGTAAAGTACATTCACTATGAATGACAACCACAAGTTAATTGAAAATAAACATATGATGGAATTTGGAAGGTGAGCTTTATAGGAAAATGTGAAAGCACGACTTGGATTAATCCGACATGTTTTTTGTGATTTAATCATAAAATCACTAAACAGACGCAACAAATATAAATTTTATGCACCCGCATATTGACGAGAAAGATGCGCACAAGCACCACGTCGCTTCTTGAAAGCATCTAGATCTGCTTCTGACTGGTGTAGTTCATGTTATAGCAAGACGGAGAAAACAAAAAAATCACTCCGCGGCGGGGAATCGAACCCCGGTTTCCCGCGTGACAGGCGGGGATACTAACCACTATACTACCGCGGACACATTTCTTGTTTCATATACTGATTGTCTCCAATCCGATCAGGGACTGGATGAGTACAAGTACAGCAAGTACAAGTGAAAATACTTGTCACGTAAAAATTGTACTTTGGACTTTTACTCGAGTACAATTACTTAAGTATATTTGTACTAAGTGCAAGTATTAATGAAATTATTTATTGTGTTTCATCATTATTACGTGTGTTAATGAATACTTGAACATATTTGGAAAAAACACAGATTGTCGAAACACTGTTTATCCGTTACATAAATCTCTCTATATTTTTTTTCTTTCTATCCAGCTATGATATAACTTTTCGATCGATTTTCTCTTTCCAAAATCGATGGAAAAGTTCATTTAAATATATGAAAGATATTTTAACACAAAAATATTGAAAAGATCTAAATAATGAATTAGGAACATTGAAACATATACCACAAAATCCTCTTTATTCATTAGCAAAATAAATTGAAAAGTTCAATATGCCAGCCCGCTATTTCCAGAATTTTTAAAATAGTACAGACTTGAAACATATTTTGCTATTTTGCAACAGCTGATTCCAGTACAAAATGAACCATGGTAATCGATTAAAAAGTGTTTAACAAAATTTTGGAATCTATTATACTCAATGAACGATGAACAGTCGTCGATCTGATTGATTTTTAGTGAAATTTGCTTGTTTCTTAGAGAATACCGTCAAAATGTATTATGGGATACAATCAATGAAAAATATCTATTATTAATGAAACAGATAACACGGCAAGAATTAACTGATTTTATTGATTTATTCGGAAATATCGATCCAAAAATGTCACCAATAAGAGAAAAGCTTTGGGACACAATTTGGGACACACAAAGGGCTTTGGGAACAAATAATGAAATTGTGCGAAGTTTTATCAATAGAAATGGACTAAATGAATATAAAACAAAGCAGAAATAGCTAGAACTATTTTATCCACGATTACATCAAATTCATCGATAATTGATACATTACATCGACTTAAATCTTGTGTATCATAAAACATTACAATCTCAAAGACAGTTGTATATTGATTTAATTCAAATACATGAAACTCTATCTAACACCGCTTTGAATGATCATAATGAAAAAGAAAAGCAATATCAATTACTATAAAATTATTTCGTCATGGGTAACATTATTAAATTAAAAATGTGAAAAAACAAGACGTTTATACGAATCATTGTCATCAATATTAACCTCTTTTCATGGTCTTATATCAGGCGAAAAACTTTCGTACAAAGAACAATAACTCTTTTTTTGACCGACTAGCCAAAACTGAACCATTCAAACTATCTCCTGATATCACTGATCATGATGCGACGACAGACACAAATGAATATCTATCTCGAAGCACTTGCACAAGACACTACAAAACTGATCGATCAGATAAAATTAAGAACAAAAAATCATCCAAGTATAAACCAAGACCAAATCAAGCAGCTGTTAGTTGTGTTCAAAATGTGGCTATGCTTCAGCATGAAATTATCAATAGTGGAACAACAACAACGACACTACGTGAGTTTAATGATATTCAAGCAGAAATTGAAAGTCCATCTGCACAAAGTGTGAACGTTAATTTCATGCAAAATGCATTTAAAGATCACATAAAAAAACTGACATTATTGATTTATATCAAAAAGCGGGTGTCAAAAAATTTGAACCAGTTTGAAGGCTGGATGTGACTGAGCACGCATTTTACTGAACATACCTCTTTGGAAAACTCGCCAGAAAAATGTAAAACTGTTTTTCTCCGGCTTCAAAAGTCGATAGAGGGCTGGACACAGATTCCGAATATGTATTTGCTTTTCTAAAGACTTACTTTTATTTGGCATGTAATCCAGTTTTTCAACAGAACCAGTGTTTTCAGTCAAATTTTACCTCAGCGATTTTCTTATGAAGAATGGACTTTAGAAAAAAACGTCCAATGGCAAAGTGATAGAGCGTATGCAGAAATATATGACTTGCTATTCAAACCTCGAAAAATATCACTTTCATTTTCTCACCTAATGTACACGTTGTTCCACACTCTGTGACATATATGTACTACCAACATATTGGTGTTCAACAGACATCATTATAAGAGCAGACACTTTTCTGTTTAAAGAATGAAATCAGAAAGTAACAAATTTTATATTTTTTTCAAGTGTTTGTCTTTTATATGTTCAAGGAGGGAGTGCTCACTATAAAACTATTTCGTACTGCACCAACTTCGCGAACTAAAATTACACTAATTAGAGAAAATCCCATTCTCCATTTTTATACTAGTTTAAGGTATACAAGTTCTACACGATACTGATCTATTTTTTAGAAAGGATCTCTTTTAGCCTTTGAGAAATATAGCTGTCAATTTCGTTGATTATCGTCTAAAACTGCACGTTTTTTCTTCCTTGACTTGCAGAGACTTGTTTTGTTTGTCTGACAAACTTGCTTTTATAGACGATAATCAACGAAATTCACAGTCGTACTTGTAAACCTAGAGATTGTCTGGTATTGAAAAGAGGGTGAAGACCGATTTACTTACAGATGTCTGTTTCTTGTTATTTTCCTGTTCTGATCCGCTCCCAGAACAGAGCAAGGAATTGATAAGATCACATCAGGATACTCTGTTTTTTCTACCGATCAGACAAACAGTAAATCTTAATCTGGTCTTGACTTCTTTTTCTGGCCTTGGTATTTTCTGAGAAACACACACTGTGCGGGCTGTATTTTATTAAGCATTCAATACTCCAGCGTGAAATTATAAAATTTTAACTTTTTTTAAATGTTTTCAAGAGCCCAAAACCTGAACAAGCATATAGGCTCGCAGTTTCATTAAAACAAATCATTCACCTACTACTACTATAGAACACTCTGAATGAAAATACTTCTTGATGAGCTAGATATAGGTCAAATACCATCAAAAACGCTTTCTCACGCTCTTATTTATTTTTTACCTTTTAATTATTTCTCCACCAACAGCAAAGCTTTGATCACAAACAGTTCTTGATGCAATCGATAGAGGTCGAAAAGATCTACAAAACTGCATTGACGAAACATCAAAAAGGCTGGCGGATATGGCGAAAAAATCAAAAAATAATAAAAACATTGTAATTTTTACAAAACCAAAATAATATTGGGAATCAGCTGCAAAAGCTGAGCAGAATGATGTGTGTCTCAACATTTTTAAGTGAATTTTGCTTTTTAAGGATTTATTTTCTCTTCTTTGTTTTATTTGTAGTACTGTACTGTGCTTAGAGCATATTGTTTCTCTTTATAGAGAAATTTTATTTCACTTTTTAAGCAGTAAGTAGATGAATGATTTTTCCTTCGTGATATATGCCTATTTTCTCATACAAGATTAAAAATGTAATGTTATTTGGTTAACTGAATATCCTCATTCTTGATTTTTTTCTTCCAGAAGATGTGATTATTTAGTAGTATTTCTACTCAAGCGCTTGGTTATTATAACCGAGCTCTAGCTATTTTGAATAAATCTTTTAAACGCACTTTTTTCTATTTCGCGTTAGTGATATCCATCCACAATTCGATCATGAAAAAATGAATTATCAGCATCTTTGTTAAAGAACACATCAGCCAATGCTAGAGCTGGATTTGGATCGAACTCTTCCTTTGATCCTCTGGATGAGATTATTTGACCTTGACTTCCATAGTCTTTCTCTTTGTATTGCAACCAAATAAATTTTGAATACATTTTGTTTGCTTATATTTATCAATCAGAGATTTGACTGATTTGCGTGTAAAAATCAACGTTAATTTCTTCCATATTATCTTTTGCTCTAGACCGACCACCGTTTATCATTTATCTGTTCGTAATGATAAGTACAAATTGTCGAGATCTCCACCTCAGTGATATTGAAGACAATAAAGAAGATATAACATTGATATGGTTAGATAAAAATATAGATGATTCTGATGATTCTCGAAACATGCAAATATTATTATGTGAATTAAACAGTTATGTTCAATTTTATACTGATCCTCAATTATATATCAATTTTATCCAAACAATCAACGAGGAAAAAATATTACTTATTATTCGGTAATCTCGGCTTCTTTAGCTTGTCATGTTCTTCGTGAAATGCAATCATTTTCAACAATTGATTCGATATTTATTTTTTGTGTTGATGGTAAAAATCAGTATATGTCACTTCTGAATGACTGTACTAAATTATTGGATATATTTACAAGAAAAGATTCATTGGTGGAAGCAATTCGTAACACAATTCGTCTGATATCAAGACAAACATTGGCATTCAGTTTATTTGATCATCAACAACAAAAATCAACTAGAAATTTAGCAAAAGATTCAGCATCATTTTTATGGTATCAATTGCTAGTGGATGTTTTAAAGCAACTGCCAAAAAATGAACATGCTAAGCAAGATATGATCGATACATGTTTTGATTATTATCGAACAAATAGATAGGAAGTTAAAAAAATCGAACAATTTCGTACTACTTACAGTTCTGACAAAGCAATTGAATGGTTTACCTCTGATAGTTTTGTTTATAGACTACTCAACAAAGCTTTACGGACGGAAGACATTGATTTATTACATTTATTTCGATTTCACATCATTGATTTATGTTCGCAATTAGAGTATGAACAGCCATTGACAGTATTGACATTGTATCGTGGACAACAGATACCTGCACAAGAATTCGAAAACTTATAAGAGAATGTCGGTATTTATATCTCAACCAATGAATTCTTTCGCTCTTGAATTTGTTGCTGGTACCAGTAATACAAATGAATTCAAAACAGTTCTATTCGAAACAAAGGCTCTCTCGTCGCTGAAAACTGTTGTGTTGCTGATGTAGAAAAATATGGGAAGTATTTTTTTGCTAAGTAGTTTTTATTAAATGCTAAGTTAATTCCTACTTTAGTAAGCTATATTTTTGTGTGACTGGGGGCGGTGAGGGGGAGGGGTGCGTGGAGAGCATGAGAGTGAGCCACTGAACCCGATCTCTGCTTGCTTCTCAAGAGATATAATTATTTTCAATAAATTACTTAGAAAAAAATGTTTTTTTACTTAGATTTTATTTTAAATTACTTAGCAGTTAAATGGGTGCCGAAAAATATAATCATATACGAGGTGAAAAGGAAGTTCTATTTGGCCTCAGAGCTGTGTTCATAATTGATAAATGTTCAATATGATTCACAGTTGAAATTGTGGAAAGTACAAATGACAGCGAGTGATGAGTGTTCAAAACACATTCAAGAATATAAGAATTCGTTAGAAAAAGAATTAAACATAATAAGTCCAACTATTCTATTTGGAGCTCTTGTCTGGGACGAGATGGGACAAACGGAAAAAGCACACAAATATTTTAATACGTTGTTAAAAACACTACCAAACGATCAAGAAGATATTTCTTGTGTTTATAATAACGCTGGAAATATGCATTGGAAGATAGGTGAATTGAATATGGCATTGGAAAATTATGAGCGAGCTTATGAAATACGTCGAAAAAAAATACCGCCTGATCATCCTCGTATTGCTACCTCTTTGCAAAATACTGGTCTTATTTATAAAGACAAAGGTAGTTATGATGGAGCATTGGGTCATTATCAGAAAACTCTATCTATTCACCAGAAAAACTATCCCGGCGATGATTTGCGTGGGTCTCACGCGTTAAGAAATATCGGTTTGTTCTATCACGCAAAAGGTGAATATGATCTCGCAATAGATTATTTGACACAAGCACTTGAAATGCGTCAGAGAACTTTACCTGATGAAGATCCGTCTATCGGTGTATGCCTCGAATATATTGGTTCTGTATATGAAGCCAAACTAGAGTATGATCGTGCCCTTGAATATTTTCATCAACAATTGAAAACGGAAGAAAACGTTTTACCCATCGATCATCCAAAGCTTAGTAAGAGACTGGATACCATCGTAGGCGTGTACGAAAATTAAGGTGAATATGCAATTGCTTTGGGATTTTGTCGAGAAAGACTGAATATTCTCATGAGTACTTTATCACACAATCATCCACGGATCGCACATGTATATAAGAGTATGGGGGATGCGCTAAATGAAGGAAGTCCTAACCAAGCACTTGATTATTATAACCAAGCTCTAGTTATTCTCAATAAATCTGTTTCTCCCGATCATATAACTACAGTTAAATGTTTTGAAGCGATTAGCAGGTGGTATTGGACGCTCTTACTTACCGTATGAAAGCACTTGATATACAACAAAAACCCTCTCCTCTGACCATCGCAATATAGCCCGATCGTTGCAATGGATTGGTCATGTCTATTTTGAAAAAAACGACCATTCTACTGCATTAGAATATCTCATTAACGCATTGAAGATTTATGAAGTAAACTACGAACCTGAACACGACGATGTAAAGAATATTCAAAATGAAATAGATCGACTGAAGCAAGCCCTATCAGAAGGTCTAACCACTACACTAGCATCTGTTTCTCTATTGTCTATAATGAATGGAGCACATGTCCAGCCTAATAGGCAATGTGTGTTCTGGTTAGTTTTCACATTTAACATGTGTGCGTGAGGCACAGTGACTGTTTAACACGTGGACCCATTCTCCTAATGGTTCTTGTAAAGAAATAACGACTGGGCCGGTTTGACTTGAAATAGTAATTGTCGGTCTATTTGTGTACGAATCTATCACAGTGTTCATTCACTTTACTTGACTGATTGATGATTTTCACAAATCAATGAGAGTTCTTGTTGATGGGTTTACATACCTACAAATCAAAAATCTTATCTTCTTGGTGTAATTTTTACTCGAATTTTGGAAAAATGACACTTTTGGCCTCTCGATATAAGCTTTCGAGGGGTAGCGATTTCGAGCCCTCGGATTTCGGATAGGCAACGCGCCCTCGAACACAGATGTTCGGGACTTCCAAGCCCTCGTCGTCCAAAGGTGCGATGTTCGAGACTTTCTAGCATCCGCTCCCCCGAGGCCCAAACATCTCTGTTCGAGAGCTCGCTATCTATCCGAAATCTGAGAGCTCAAGATCGATACTCCTTGAAAGCTTATATCGAGAGTCGAAAGTGTCATTTTCATAGAAAGCATAGCCCATCGAAAGCATATTTTCGAGCACTCAAAGTACTCCTCGAACAACTGGTTGAGGTGTCCCTGAGACAATATTTCTTTCTTAAGCTGTATAAATCCCCTGAGAGACATTATTTTGACAGAAATTTAAAAGACGGAAAACTGTCTCATACTTGTGACAAAAAATTCCATAAGCCTAATAAGAAATTTGTCCGAAGAACAAGGTCTATGTGCATGTTAGAGGACTTGGAGACTTTCATCTGTTTTCCGCAACGTTTTGAAGCATCAGAACCTATGCACCCGTTTTCAACAGAAAAGAATATGAGCATATATTTTCATTTTTCAACTTTCAAGGACATGACGTATCAGTGTTGATTTTGGATTTAAAGAAAAGAAAATATAACCTTTTCTTTTATTCTTCTCTTTCTTCGTCTTTTTCTACTACCTTTAGTATACTATTATTTTTCAGTGAATATGAATCAGTATACAATAAGCAGCGCATGTCTTACGATAAAGAGAAACAAGTAGCTACTGCAGCGTGTTTAAAAGCGGCAAAACTATGTGAAAAAGTTCGAAAGACATTGTCGGATGTTAAGTCAATGTTAAAAGATGACAAAAGTCCTGTGACTATTGCTGATTACGGATCACAAGCATTAATCTGTCATGGATTAAAGGAAAATTTTCCCGATGATCCTATTATTGCGGAAGAAAATGCGGGAGATATAAAAGAGATGAGCGAACAACGTCGATTGATTACTCATTATGTTCAACAGCAGTGCAAAGATAAAATTAGTGATGAAGATGTATTAAGATGGATTGATTATGGTCGTGGAAATATTGCTCATCGTTATTGGACACTAGATCCGATCGATGGAACAAAAGGCTATCTACGTGGTGATCAGTATGCAATTGCGTTAGCACTAGTTATTGGTGGCCAAATAGTGCTAGGCATTATTGCATGTCCTGCACTCGATGAAGGTATGATATTTTGGGCTGTACGAAATCACGGTGCGTATCGTCAAGACATTGAACAACAAACATATCCAGTACGAATTAAAACGATTCAAAATGATTTTGATCGGAGTCAACTGCAGTATGTTGAAAGTATCGAAAATACTCTTTGTGATCATGAAAAACAAGACAAGGTTGCGCAGCTCCTCGGAATAAGCACACCGTCGATTCGTCTCGATTCAATGACAAAGTATTGTCTTGTGGCTAGCGGCAAAGTTGGTCTTTATCTTCGATTTCCGTCGCCAAATAAAGTTGATTACCGTGAAAATATATGGGACCATGCTGCAGGCGTGATTGTGGTGGAAGAAAGCGGAGGATATGTAACCGACATGGACGGGAAAGAATTAAATTTTCACGACAATATAAAGATGCTGAATAATCGTGGAGTCATTGTTAGTAACAACATAACAATACATCAACAACTACTACATGTAATCAAACAATATGAGCAAAGCAAAAGAGAGTCAAGTGTTGATTAAGCCTAGACAGGTCTAAACATAACAAAAGTATTTTTCTAATCAAATGGTGCTTTGTTAGATGATGAATAGAAAAAATCACAATAAAGTCGAAGATTCTTTTTCAGTTTTCAAAAACATGCAATATTTTTTGACTTCACTCTTTAAGAGTATTTTTGATCGCTTACAGGTGGAGAGGTGATGGACTTCATCAAACAGGCGTTGGTGTTAACAACGTTACCTAGTGTTACACCTTTTATTCTGGAATGTATCCATTACGATCCAGCTTCAATGTCGATAGAGATCTGATTCTTTTAGGTACAAGCACTAGCCGTAGTTTTACTAATTTTATCATATTCTATTTGTTAACAGAATGTTAACCATTTTCCACTGGATCTACTTGTGTTCTCAGATAATAGTGAACTTTCTGACAGTTTTTTCTTTGTATTAACTTGAAATGACTGATGATATTGAAATAGTGTGAAAAATAGTTATCCATTTCCTCGGCTGCTGTTTCACTAAAAACGTTCATTTACTTAACTGATAATTCATTAATTTCATACAGCAAATAAGTTAAGTGTGCTATTCATGCTTAATTTTCAGTGGTTTCATGAGATTTATCCAATACTTGAGCTACAAGGTATTAAACTACTAATTAAGTTAACAATCATCTGCTTTGAAGCTAATTAACTTCCGCTATGTCAAGTATTTCCAAGCTGGTGTTTGCCAAAAATGCAAAGAAAACAAAAAGATAGAAGTGGTGACTATGCACGGAAGAGTGTCATATGAAAAAGAAAAGTTTGTTCAAGAGTCGCCTATCATTTTGAAAAGGTGTGTTAATTAAAGTTTTTTTATGCATCTGTACTATGAATGTATAACAAAAAAATAAACACAAGAAAAATTTTAGACGGTACTTTGAGATCGCTTCTTCAGTTGAACAGTTTTGGGTAAAGAGTCTGCTGCATAACTGTTGCTTCTGACCATTCTAGCCGGTTGTTGCATGTTTATTATATTTTTCAAATGCAACTTAATTGAGTGCGTATATTTGAGTTCGTGTGTACGTAGTAAGTCGAATTCTTCGCAATCCAGTATATTGTAGTTTTTAATATAAAATGATTTGATCGTACCCAAGTTAATATCTTTATACATTCGTTTAAATATTGACATGATACGATGTGAAAAGTTTTCTCCTATCCACTCACGATTTTTCGGATGTTTATTCAGTTCGTACAAATACTCCATTTTTAGCGTGTAAGATGTTAATAAATCCTCAACACCGTATGTCACTCCTTTAATAGTAATCGGCGGATAGGAAAATGAGTTTCTTATTGCTTTGAGGACGATGTAGCCAATTTTTTTTTCTTTCAATGATACGTTTTGAAAAAAATTGACTTCCGCTGCTGTTGTGGATATTCGCCATAGATAGGTCAAATCTGATTTTGTGCTTCTTGCAATTACATGAAAATTAAGAATATCTACAGGACATGGAATGTTGGCTGACGACGGCCATCCAGGTTGATTCTTTCCGTATTACGTGACTTCTTGCTGATGTCAACAGTTGATAAAAACGTTTTCTTATCTTTTCGGAAGATAGACATTGAGTTATTGGCTCGATATACTGCTCCAGTTCTTTGTGTGTCTTATCATTCGTTACCAATAATCGACCAAAACCAGCTGGATCCTCTTCGAGTTGTTGAAATTCACATATTCTTCCAAACCAAATGAGATTAATCATAAAATCGAATTCAGTCGGAAAACCAACACGTGTGTACTCATAGAAACTACCGCTCGGAATTATTTCACATTTGAATATGGAATTCAAATGTTCGACATGAATCAGAAGATGCTTGACGTATGTTTCTACTTCCTCTTTTATCAACTGTTCCTCATCCGTGTATTTAATAACACCGATTGTGTTAGTTACTGACAACAGGCTCAAATAGTCTCGAAGTGTGTTAACATTCAATAATGGATCAACTGATAGCTGCTCACTTGGCAGAAATAGCTGAACAGACGAATGTCGACGATATCGACCGGCGATCTGATGTCCCGTCTCGTTTTGTCGCGTGACCAGCGAACAATCAGCTTTCTTCTCAAGCATATGTTTTAATAGAGAATCATTCCCGACCATCGCCGCCATGTGTAGCGGCGACCAGCCATGAATGTTTTGCTTATTTATATTGAAACCTTTTGAGATAAAATAGCAGGCTAGCTTATAGTTACCGTAAACAACAGCCAGATGAAGACAAGTGTTTCCAAAATTATCCGACGCATCTGTATCTAGCAGGTTATGGCGCCTGAGATGATTTAAAATAATCCTTGCTGCTTTGAGCTTTCCGCATTTGGCTGCAAAGTGAAGAACCGACAAGCCATACATGTCAGTATTCGTCACACAAACATTCCACTTTAACAAAAATTTAACACATCGTTTTCGATGATAAAGAAGTGCCGTGTGTATAGGGCTCCGCATATCTTGTTGGCAGAGATTTGCATCTACGCCGCATTTTAGCAAGTGCTTTACTATGCAATGATGGCCGTTTCGAGCGGCAACAAACAAAGCACTGGCGCCTGTATTCTTTGTCTGTGATGGATCAGCATTGAAGCGCGTTAAATAGTAAACACATTTAGCGTGACCGTTATATGACGCCCAATAGAGCGCTGTTGTCTGATCGTCGGCTTGTGAATTTGGATTAGCACCACTTTTTAAAACATACAAAACTATTTGATCGTAACCACGATGAGATGCTTCCCAAAGGCAGGATGATCCATTTATGTTCACTATCTCCATGTCAGCTCCATTTTTTACGAGTACTTCAACAAGAGACAAATAGCCTTTTTCAGATGCATAATACAGCGCTGTTTTCCCTTCATGATCAGTAACATCGAGCGGAACACCATTGTGAATGTGACTCTGTAGTTCTACTATCGAATTCTTGAGAACAGCATCATGCAAATCGGTCAAACTATCTCGTCGTCGAAAACGTTCAGCCATTCATTGTCATCTACACTTTGGAAAAGAAAAATGACATATTGAAGTCGAATTATAAATGCACTTCTTTTTTTTCGAAATAAGCTTGTCACCATCAGATACCATATTTTGCTGACGGTACTAAATAGGTATCCTGTTATCTTTAACTGTGAGCTTCAACATCTCTTCGATTCCCATTCACAGCATATCAAGTGGTCCATATGTCTCTTTCGAATAGAATAGTTAACGTCAAATCAAACCGATCAAACCCATCTAAGAGGTACTTTCAATAGAAATTGTTGTTGACCTTATATTTTCATATGTTATTAATATCTCTTTTTACACTATATGTTTGACTCTTGTAGAGCAGTTACACAATATATAAAGGCGTAATTAGATAACTGTGATATAAATTTTGTTCTTTTCTACACATATATTCCAGGAAAAACCAACAGAACAAAGTGCGTTTTGGTATTTTATGTACCTTGACTAATAAAATTTAATACTATTGAGACGAAAAAATTGGAACGAAAAAAATGTGCATAAACCCCTAACTCAATTTGAAAATCATAAGCACATACACTTGCTAGCATCTAATCCAAGAAGAACCATTATTATCTACTTTTATATTTGACCCAGTTTTTGTTTTGGTCTTGTCTGTTTTTGTTGTATCGCACACGTTGAATAAGTTGACGGACTATCTGTCTTCTCCTTAGCAGGAGAAAGAAAGAAAATAAAATTTCACTATTAAATACTTTTGCTGCATGACTCAAAGACCAGGAGAACAGCAAAGAAAGTATAACGAACGTAGCGGTATGAGTGATTTTGTTTGTAATTTCAAACCTTTCGATTTATTTAAAAATCATTTCTAACAATACACAGATACCAAAGAATTTCTTTCTAAAATACGAGAAAACGAAAACGCAGTTATGCATGTAAGTGTATTGTGACGACTTATATTTCCTTAAATTATAAGTCCTTGAGTTTAATGTATGCGTGCACTATGGTATAAGAAAAAACTACAATCTACTAAAAAATAAAAATCCTCGATCACATATATATTCTACTACATGCTAAAAGATAAGAATCGTAAAAGGAAACAGAGTAACGAAACAACACAACTACCAAAAAAAGAAAGGACAACAAAACACAATAAAATACATGTATACGAAGATAATCTGTACATAGTGGGAAGTAGAAAGAGAGGTTGTGACTAGATTTCTGCGGGACAAATTAATTTTTTGCTCCGAACCCGTGAGCCCTGCCCCACAAAAATGTATTTGTCCCGAGTCCGTTTTGTCCCGAAAAAGAAAACCACGGGCTTCCCCGTACGGTTTACTTCCTATATTTAAACCGATAAATGGTACATCTGCTAGATTTGAATCAGAGACGTGATTTTTTCCTTTTGTTCTGAGCCCATGTATGATTCTCATGATCGAATTTACGAGGGAACCTCCCCAGGTTGACAATGAACATTTAGGGCTTTTCTTGCAAACTCTATAAATTTGCAAAGAAAGATCGTGTAGAGCTTGGAGGGATCTCATTTAATCAGAAATCTGCGGGCTACAATTCTGCCTCATTAACAAAGGTTTTGATCATTTTTTAGGAGTTTTGACAAACTGGTTTTTCAGAAATCCAGTCTCTGAAGACCTATCGGCCAAAATGATTGCTATATTCGGAATCAGCATAGTCGATAACCTATAACCCACTAGGTTTTAGCCCGAAAGTGATTTGTAACCTTGGGAGGTTTTCTCGTTAGAATCGTACACAAATGATATATATACCTTTTTCGTACTTTAGTATAAACTAGTAAAGAAACTAGATAATTTGCAAATGATGTAATGATGAACAAGAGCGAAAAGGTGTACTTGATACAGTGGTTGTTTTCAAAACAAAACAAATGAAAGACAAAAATTTAAACCAAATATAACTTACTCCGTATTTTTTCGTTGTTTTAATTTTATTCTTTGTTATCAACAATATGCTTTCTTTATGTGTATGTGTGTGTATGTCTGTATATGACAACAATAAATGATGTGTCAATCTATAAATACAAAAAGAAAAAACCGTTATTACGTAGTAAATCATTCACACATTCGTTTTTCGTCGCATGCAATCTGTTGTTTGTTACCTGATAATAAAAATCTCACTAGAGATGAACATCTATCCGGGTTTTAATCGAATTTAATCACTCGATTCGACCCGATTAAATTTGATTAAAATCCGAATCGATGGCCATCTCTGAATTTCACAGTATTGCGAAAATTTGTTGAAACTTTAAAGAAGTATAAATCACAGATGTCAATCGCGCTGCGATGCGACAACGGCTGTTTTTTTACAAACCATTGCGCTCAACAGCGTGGTGGACTTATTTTCATCTGCGCCGCGGTAGCTTTTATTTTGGTCGCTGTGGCGCGGTAGCGACAGATCTCCTGCCGCATTGGATGTCTCTGGTATATATCCCATACAGATATGCTTATACAAAAAGTTTGAGTCTAACCCTCCCTCATAATAGAAGCCTCCAGGGCTTCTAAACTGTCCAAGCGTTCAAAATTTTTTAGGGGAGGCTTGTATTATGGGGGGGGGAGGGGCTACTTCCCATTATATCATTCTGAAACTTAAACTATCAAAACACAAAATCAATCCTTGCACGAAGCTAGGATCGAACACACGAACTTGATCTTTACAGACGAACTGCAAAAATCAACTTCGCTGTTCTTACCTATATTCTGCACAATGATTAAAGTTGTGCAATGACTCGATGTTATCCTTCATTGTGTATTTTTTATTGTGTTTTTGTGTTTTGTTTTTG